TGTGTGTGTGTGTGTGTGTGTGTGTGTGTGTGAAAATCATGTGATCTCTGCAGCAGAAATATTATGTTACATCCGTCAACCTGCTGCACCATCACTCACCTGAATCCTGGAGAGAATTTGTTGCTGCTTTGAATGCATTTTGAGCAGAGAACCTCCTGCTGCTTTGTACATTTGTGTAAGGCAAACTGCGTAGAAAGTCTGGACCCAGTTCCCTGGAGATCCTCCACAGGTCATGTCTTAAAATTGCTTAATTAATATGAGCTTTTTCTACTCTGGCATAATTTTGCCCAGCTTTACATCTTCGTCTCTAGTTTCAAAGAGAAAGAAAATCAGCATGCTCTCTGGCAGAGATATAATGTAGCTTCCTCCAGTAATCTATCTAGTGATTATTAGTTTTGTGTTCACCGGGATTAAGGCCTGTTCTTCAGTAACAAACATAGATTGTATTGGTAACAACATACGCAGAGGAGCTGATAACCGGTTTGTTCGGTGAGTAAACTCTTTCTTAATGTTTTACAGTCTTGATCTTCACATGTGTTTACTGTGCTCCACAAAAGTTACTGTTTGTTTCTATGTGCTCTGACCACAGAAGAGGAAACTATTACTGTGCCAGTGAATGTCAATTACTATGCTAACCAGGCTAGCTAGTTAGCCGATTGCTGGGCAATGCTGGGCTTACTAGTGCCCTCAGGGCTGCTAACTTGCTTTAACCAGGTGTTAAAGTTAAGCTTGATTAAAAAGGTTAATTTAACTAATATTAACATGACGACCTTTGGGCTAGAGCGATCATCCTCCAACCAGAAGGTCGGAAGTTCGATCCCAGTCTTCCCCATATGCATGCCGAAATGTCCTTGGGCAAGATGCTGAACCCTGAATTGCCCCTCATTGAAAATAAAGTGCTGCTAATAGATGCACTTTATGAATGTGTTTGTCGATGGATGAATGGCAAACTGTACTGTAAAGCATGTTATAAGCCCAATATAAATACAAACCATTTACCATGATTGAGGATGTCGTGACAGTTTAGTTTAACATGTTTTGGTGAGTTCTTACATGTGGTTAAACAGTAACATTAACTTTCTGTGTTTTGTTATGATTACCTGCTGTATAAAATTAATCAGGTGAACAGTTGTGTGTAAGTCTATTTAGATTGTAGTGAAGCTGTCAGATGATACTGACTGTGTTGGAAAAACAGACAGCATTTAACTACATTAGATTCAGTTTTATGATTACTCCTGTGCTGTGGATGTCGGATTTCTTGGTGCCTGTGTCTTTATTTCTAATTTAATCTGATAATATTATTTAATTCTGATGTGCTAATATCTGATTGTTACCAACTAATGCATTCATTATTTTTATATTTCTCTGTGCTGATGTGCTTTTGTATGTTCAGAGGCCGAAGGACTGAAGCTTTAGTTGATGGTGATGATGTGAAACAACTGGACTCAAACCATCACCTGTGACATCCATAACAAATGTTTACTGCTGTTAATACTTGAAAAGTATGTATTAAATATATAAACTCTTAAATGTTTACTTAACCTCTGGTATTTAAAATTTGAAGCCAGAGTGTATGTGATTAAACAGTTTGTGTTTAACACAATTACCCAATATGATTAAACTGTACAGAGTACATTTTCCATTGACTACAGATGACTTGCCTGGTTCTTGAACATTTACCCCTTTCTTCCCCTTTCTTCGTTACAATAAATGAGGACACTTTGGTGAATTAATGTTTTCATTGTCATAAAATGTTGTCATAAGTATCAACTCATATCTTAATTGTCAATGATTGATTTGATTAAAACCAAAATGTAAAAGGCTTGTGATTAATTTCAAATTCGTAGTTCATCAGTGTCATTGTATGATTACAATAATGTGCATGTTGCTGCTGTTACTTTTTAACAGATGTGCTCCTTAGAATCATGACTAGTAAAACAGAGTTTCATAGATAATTTTATTGCACATTAAACAATAATAAATCAATTTATAATCCAGCAGAAAAATGGAATACAGTTGTGGATAAAGGGAAACATGATCTTCAGTGTTAGACGATTAATCTCTACTGCTTAATAGTTTCATTATGAACTTTACCTCAGATGATGGAAGCTAACTGTGTTAGCAAGTAGTTCTCAGCGCATTCAGGGGCTGTGGTCAGTAGCCAGTGTAGGAGGGCGTGTGACTCCTTGAGTTTAGAGGTCAACTCTTCCTTTTCGTCCAAATATGGTAACATCTGGCTCAGCCTGGCTCCAAATCGCCAAGATGGCGCTGATCAAATTCTAAACTCTTAGCTTCAAAACCACAGTTCAGAAACCATTGGGTGAGGTCACCCTAGGTTTCCACTTGCTTATAAGGTGATAATGTGTCAATTGTTGTTTTTGGCATGTTCTGCTGCCCCCAGATGGCAAACAAAATATTGCAGCTGTGAGTAATATTTATAATGTTGGACTTTAAATGAAAAGACAATTAAACTTTATTTATGTGTTCACCCCTGCAACATAGTTATATAAATTGTGAATTAATTACAGTGTGGCTCTTGGCCACAGACACCCTTACTGTATAATACTGTATAATAACCTCATGCTTTATGCATTAGCCTTCTTATTGTGAAATCTTTTATAATAATTTTTTCTTGGCAGGTTCTTCCTCAGATGATGGAGTTCTGCCACCAGATACTGATGGACCCTTCTGCGAACCCCCGCAGTAAGGATGGAGCACTGCATTGCATCGGTGCTCTGGCTGAGCTTATACTGAGGGTACACACATCTGACTTTTAATTTTGTTTTCCTAGAAAAAAAAAAAGATCAGATGGAACGTCTTATATTTCATTCTCCCATTGCCTTCTGTGTGTTTTAATCACCACTGTGCTTTCTGTGTGTGATTATACAGAAGCGGATGTACAGGGAGAAGATGGAGCTGATACTGCAAAACTACGTTTTTCCTTTGCTAAACTCTCCCATGGGTTACCTGCGAGCCAGAGTAAGTGAAGCCCTTATAGCTTACCTTAATGGTTAATTATTTGTATTTCTTTTTTAGTTTTCCTTTCAATCAAAGACAGACAATCCCTTGCTCTTAAAAAAGCCTTAAACACAGATAGTGTGCATACATCCCAGGAACTGGCTGATTTGTAGGTCCGAATTATTATTTTCTCATTTAGTATATTAGCATATTTTTGTACTATCCATCTGACCGGTTCAATAACTTAAAATAATATGTATAACTAGGTTTCATCTGCATAGCAGTGAAGATTTACTGGGTGAATCCTGTTAATGTTTCCTAATGAAACCATATATAAGCTGAATAAAATTGTGTCGAGCACTGAACCCTTAGGAACACCATGATCAACTTTGGTGCGGAAAAGATGACTCCTCATTAATTTGCACAATTTGGAATCAATCTGATTAATTGGATTTAAATCAGCTTAACTGTTCTAGTCTCTGTAGTAAGTGTAGTGGTGAGATAAATAAAATAATTTAGATCAAACTGTCGAATTTATTCAAGCAGGAAATACAGCAAAGAATATAACAAAGAATTTATCTAAGAATATGACAATGAATATATATTCTTATTCTTACAGATATTTATAGTATTCTCATCATACAATTCTCATCAGTTAGAGGGAACACTTTCAACAATTATTTTGCATGCACCCTTTTGTGCGACCTTTGTGTACACATATTCTTTTTGCATGAATTCTATGCACTTTTTTATAAATGAGGCCCCTGGTCGGTCTGTGTGCCACTAACAAAAGTAGCTAAAGAGAGAACCTTCTCTGCTCCAGCTAGAAGGTGCTGAACACTTGAATGCTAACTGAAAGAATCTCAGTTGACTGAAGGGTCCTCAACTTATGGTTCTTGGCAACCCCCACTCGCATGCAGATACTTAATATTTTTTTGTTTCAAGATAATTGTTTGACATTGTTTTCAAATAACATGGGAGAGAGAGAGGGGTTTGACATGCATTATAGGTCCCCTGACCAGGAATTGAGCAATGGACCTTGTAGCTATCTGATCCAATAGACTACAATGCATTTCAATATTGTTTTGGCACACTCAAAATTTTGTTGAAGCCTGCAATGTGAAAAACTTCAACACATACATTTGTTTTATTGTCATATCTTGTATGGGTCACTAAATACAATTTTCATGAATAGACTGTTTTTTAATGCTTTAACCTTTGGTTCCCTTGCTTTCAGTCCTGTTGGGTGCTCCATTCAGTCAATGTGAGTCAGTGTTTCATTCACTTTAGCACCTTGTGCTTGTAATCCAAACATGCTGCAGCAGCAGTGGACACTTGTGGTGGTGGTTTCAGAGATCTAGAGATCTAGATTCTAACATTGACTAAGAATTGTCCGAGTGCTTTGCTAATTTGCAGTTGTCTGCTTTGTTTTGGCAGTCTTGCTGGGTGCTCCACTCATTCAGCCCACTGAGTTTCCAGGATGAGCTGGTTCTGAGGAATGCTGTTGAATTAGTAAAACAGGATCTGATCGACGACAAAGAGATGCCGGTGAAGGTGGAGGCTGCCATTGCTCTGCAGACATTGGTCAGCAACCAGGAGCAAGGTCTGTAGACAAGTATTGACTTTGTTTTAGTTTTTTGGTAGTAGTTTTTTAGTGAGAATGGCAGATGTAGGACAAGCATAAAGCAACACCAAATCCATAATGTCTCATTGTGACGTGCACATACAGGTATCTCCATTCAATTTTATGAAAAAGCCTGTTCTGCATCTAATGAGATTACTACAGGCTTGTCACTTACTTTATGTTTTGCATACATTATATTAAATAATATCCGGGTGTTAAAAAAAAGAGAATCTGCCCGATACAAAGCCTGTTTGATCTGGATGTATTAATGAGGATATATGCCTGCACAGCCTCGATGCCAACATTTTTGCTACCACTTTCTGAACATAATAAAATAGACTGAGGGGTCTATGCCAGTGGATCTGAATCGTCCCTCCCTTTCTTAAGTATTAGACAAATATTTGCCTCATAAAAAGATTGTGGAAATATCTCATTGGCTATTTAATGTTTAATCATTCTAAAAAGCAGGGGAGCAATGAAGTCACTGTCAGAAAAATTCAGCACCGAACCCATCTGGACCTGCAGCCTTACCACTTGGAAATAATTTAATTGCCTCTTTAATTTCACAAACAGTAACATTTGTATCTAGATCAAGCTTAGCAGAGTCACTTATTTTAGATAATTCAACAGAATCCATGAATTTCTCAATATCTTCATCAGATGCATTACAGCTAGAGGTGTATAACTTTGAATATAGCGCTCTAAAATATTCATTTATATCACATAAAACATGCAGGAATCTTACACAAAAAAATAAGTCCCGATTCACATCAAAGTTAAAAGTCCATACACAAAATAGAAAGGGTCTTTTTAAAGGTGGTGTAATTGTCACCGTTTCTAACATGAGCTGGCAGTGTGTCCCAAGACTTTGTTCCTCTGATGGACACCACCATTTGGCCAAATTTAGTCCTGCGCCGTTGTACATCACAGTCTCCTCTAGTCAGTTCTCTGGTGTTTACTCTGGAGGATTTTGTCTCTATGAAGTCCTGTAATGGTGGAGGGGCTAATCCTTTCAAAACCTTTAAGATGAGACCGACATCTAAAAACAACTGATAGCTAACAAAGTCCAAGATTTTGTACTTATTCATATTTTTACAATAATGGTAATGTATAGGTTTTTTGTCAAGAGTTTTAAATGTTCTCCTGAAGAGAGACTTGATTGGTTTTAAAGTACTCTCTGATGTATGTGACCATGTTGTATAAAAATAGGAA